AAAATATATATATATATATTTATTTTTTTTTTTTTAAGCAATAAAAATAATTTCTAAGGTTTACGTTTTAGTAAACAATAATAACCCTGACCTGCACAAATAAAATTAATTAATACCACATTTCTATACAGAACAAATCCATACAATTGCAAAATAAATAACTGCATTAATTAAACCGGGTAAAATACTATAAAACACTAAATGCTACACTATAAAAGACATGTTTCCTTCGATATACACATATATGTATATTTTCAATTGGCCTGTGCTTATGCATTAGAGGTTTATTGATATATAATTCTGCTGATTATTGTGCCAATAAAAGTAAAATCTACATACTGAATTTTCAGAGCGAGTTTATATCCAATTAAATGCCACATAAAATTAATTGCATCATCAAAATACCAGAAAAAAGATTTCGTGCATAATTTGGGACTTTTAATCACAGACAAGCCTGAAATGCACAGGGACTCTTATTTTGAATTTAAGATCTCTCACAGTGCTGAGAGTTTTGTTATGGCATTTAAAGCCGTGTATTTGATTCAAACGCCTCTTCTGTGTGACGTGGCTCGCTGGTTACCACAGAGGCGATGACGGACGCGGTGGCGGCGATCTCGTAGTAAGTGCTCCACTGAGACGTCTGCGTGGCCGAGTTGAAGAAGAAGGTCTGCAGGACGTACTTTCTGAAGGCCACGTTATACGGCCGCCGCCAGCTGAGCACGACAGCACTGGGACTGAGCGGATAAACCACCAGATCACGCACACCTGTCGGCTCTGACACACCAGCCAATCACAGAGCACGGTTAGTCAGGGGGGCGGAGCTTCATCACACATGCTCATTATATATGCACTCACTCACTCACCGATGTCGATGATGATTGGTTCAGACGGGGGACTAACCAGCGGCCCGTTCGTGTGATAAACCAGCACTCTGTACTGAGCACCGGGGGTCAGGCTGCTGATGATGTCACTGGTGATGTTCTCCTATCAGAGAGCGGAGAGCGGGTCACGTGACAACGAAACACTTTTACAGCTAAACCACTGACATTAAACTTCTGGTGAGGGTTCGATGGATTTCCATCAAAATAAAAGTTTGATGGTTTCAATTAGTATTGTAATATAACAGTAATGCAAAATAAAATTATAATTTTTTTTAAATACTAAATTTTTTTTTACAGTGAAATATTACGATAGCAATATTTATTGTATTGTTTTAATTTAGAAATGCATATGCTGTATGTATATATATATATATAGATATACAGTGGGTACGGAAAGTATTCAGACCCTATATATATTTTTTTGTAATATATTTGTATGGAAGAAAAATAATGCCATATGTCTTTGAAACAAAAAAAACGTTAAACGCACAAACTGAAAAAAAGATGCATTGCATTAACAGCGCTTGCATTTTTAGGTCCTGAAATGTAACATAGTTGTTTATTTAAGATGTGAATATTTCAATTCTAAATATTTCACACACATTTTCGTAATTAAAAATTCACGGGAAACAGCGAAGATGTTGAATTAAACATACACACAATCAGCTTTACCACATGTTTATACTGGCCCTGATAATCAAAACTTCTACTTAGCGCTTGCTCCATTTCTGCCGATCAATGAATGAATGACTCGATCCACCTGTTGCTTTGGTCTTCATGAACAGCCGCTTGCGCCACCTGCTGGTGAGCGACTGACAGCAGCTGCAGATCATGCATCGGTGCTGGAAATACAAGGCATTAAAATGCAAGCACTGTTAATGCAATGCATTATTTTTTCAGTTAGTGCTATTCAACGGGCTTTTTGTTTCAAAGACATATGGCATTATTTTTCTTCCATATATTTGACTTTATATATTTAATATAAAAAATATTAATAAAACAACAACAACAATAATAATAATAAATACTGTTATTATTACTATTATTGATATACAATCGTAACATTTTGGCCAAATTGTTCAGCAAAACAAACATGGATTTTTTTTATTTTACAGTGAAATATTACAATAATAATATTTCTTGCTTTGTTTTTATTTAGAAATGTATATATATATATATATGTGTGTGTGTGTGTTTATAATAATAATAATAATAACTATAAATATGTCTTCATATATTTATGCCTTCATATATTTGATATAAAATAATATTAATAATAATAATAATAATAATAATAATAATAAATACTGTTACTATTATTATTATTGGCATACAATCATAACATTTTGGCCAAATTGTTCAGCAAAACAAACATGGATTTTTTTTATTTTACAGTGAAATATTACAATAAAAATATTTCTTATTTAGTTTTTATTTGTTAGTCTGTATGTAATAATAATAATAATTATAATAATAACTTCTAAAAGTTATAATAATATTATTATTATTATTATTATTATTTTATAGCCATATTGATATACAATCACAATATTTTGCCAAAATGGTTCAGCCCTACAAACAAGCACAACAAACCCGTATTTGTTTTAGTTTTTTTTTTTTCCTGAATAGCGCAGCTCTAATTCATATGGTGCATCATAATGCAGCTTCTGTCACACCTGTGCTGGACGGTTTTGTTGACGCTGATAGAGTTTAACTGGTCTGCAGTGTTCTGATCGCCTGAATGAACTGGTGAAATCTGCATATTTGACATACAACATCAGGTGAGTGATGTCAGGTGGCTGTGGATCAGTACCTCGGAGCAGTAGGTGTTCTCCATGCGCTGGCTGATGCTGGGCCGCAGACAGGTGAGCGACAGCACCGAGATCAGACTGCCATTATATCTGTGACGCGACGGAGCCCAGGACACAGCAGCCGTGCTGGAGTCCAGCATCTTCACACTGACCTTCTGCGGACGCTCCTGCGGCTGCTCCATCCACTCACCCGCCGGACCTGACACACACACACA